TTTTTTTTTTTTTTTTTTTTTTTTTTTTTTTTTTTTTTTTTTTTTTTTTTTTTACAAATGTGTACTTTTTCTTCAAGTGCTGTATATTAGTGCATTAAACGGTACACAGTATGCATAGGCTGGAGGAATGTTCACTTCTAGATTTCAGTGCACTTAACCAGGGTTTCTCAAAGTGGGTGCTATGACACCAGTCCAGGGGTGCCACATATCATACTTGAATTAAACAGTTAACATTTTGCACAAAACCAATTGGTCACCTTTTTTTGGAGGAAGGCCTCCTGACCACTTAACCCTACACATGTCCATTGTGACCACTCCTTGCAAGAGTAACAATAAATACTCATTTCCTCCATTGTGTGTGGGTCACCCACACATTCGTTTGTGCACACAACACAAGGACACTCCACAGCTGATGAGGTTGGTGTAACCACGTTTCCTGCACTGGATGGTGGAGGCTCATCGCTTGTGGCACTTTGGAGAGCCTCTGGACCAGATGAACAGGCTGTCCCCCTTTCCTCACCTTTCTCCATTGAGCTCTTCAACATCCCTTCCAGTAACTCTGGTTGAATCACAGACTGGAAGAAAATTGTTGACTTTGCAATTATCTCCTCCACTAGCAAGGGGTCGAAGCTGATTTCCTCTGTGTAGTATCTGTTGTATGGGGAAGCAGTTTGAAGAAAGAAGTATCCCACATCTGCATCGGTGACCAGCATCTGTAGTTGAACTTGGAAGTAGTAGGGATGTGTTGCCTTCAGCTTTATTTCACCTGTTTGTAGGGAACAGCAATATTTCAATTTATACTCTTTTTTTTATATGACACCCATTTGATAGACAATATGGCAATATAAGCAAGTTAATTCTAATCAACTCTTAAGTGATGTTACTTCCCACAGAATGAGTTAAACATTTTATTTTTTTGGAAATTCTATATTCAATCATTTCATTGTAGCTTTAGAAGAAACCACTGGACCAAACCTGTTGGTGTGATATGAAGGCAAGAATCTGGTTGTTCAGCAAACTTCGGGATACTGAGAGCTCGATGCTTGAAGGGGTTCTTCACCTCAAGGGGACGAGTGCCACAACACTTGCAAGTTACAAGTGCATCTGGTGATGCAGCCATTATGGGCAGCTGGCTGTACAGAATAAGTCCACAGGGGGTTGTTTTCATGCCCTTGTGCTTACGTCGGTTCAGCTTCTCAAAGTTGTGCACAGCATATTTTTCATTATAATTGCCCCAGTGGATAGCTGGTGAGTGAACTGGTGGCACATAGTTCATAATTTCTTTCAGCAAAGCAGTATTCCTACTGTTTACTACTCCATGGTTCACTTTTTTAAACACTCTATGTGCTTTGCTGGCTGTAACACGCCCTACTCTGTAGTCACGCCATCCATCTGAATTACTCTGGTCTATTGTGTGCTGACACACGGCTGAAACATCATCTTGGTCCAACTGCTGTACAGCTGCCTCAAAGAACTGATCTTTGGAAGAGCAGTGTGTAGCTGCTAGGGATGGGAGTGTGGGGGGCAGTGCAACATTCACTTGCTGTAGTGGATCTTCAAGGGCCTCCTCCCATTGTACTACACCACAGTCCCTCATGTCAGGTAATGCATGTGCTGGATCAGGGGCAGCTGGCAGGAACATGAGAAACCCAGCACTTCCATTTGTAGCTTCTCAGAGCCCCTGAAGGTCCATGTCATAGATGGATTTTTTGGTTCTGTGATCTAGAGCTCGAGGGTCAAACTGGAACCTCCAGGTAAGACACACTTTCTCCTCAATGACACAGTTTCCTGAAAATATAAGTACAAATGAGTACAAATTAAAAACTGGTCTTAGGTGACATGATTTGGCAGGCTGAGGTGAATAGGACTTTGTGGCTTCACAGATGCAAGAGAGTAAAAACAAGACTTGTAGCTCAGTGGACAGTAATATGAAATGGACTTACTACATAATGTTTGGGTTTGTAATACAGTGAGTTATTAGCATACATTTGTAGCAGCATGTCACATAAGGGAATAACAGAATATAATAAATCACAGAAAAGGACAGCCAGCTACACCAAATAATTGATAAATTCAATTATTAAATGTACACAAAACATCACCTTTAACTTTCTGAATATGGATGTCTTCAAGGAACTCTGCACTGTGTGGCTTTTTGGATGGCACATGCCACTTTTTCCTCTGTTGAGTCACTGTTGTGTTTTCCCCCCTCGCCACTCTCTCAATCACCGTATGGCAAAGGGATGCCACATGCTTGCATGTGCCACATAACCTTTGTATTATGAAAGGACATGAGAAAAACAATGGATGAGTGTGTTGGTCAAAACATTTTCAAACTGCAAATAGAATAGAAGAAAGGGTGTTTGTCTTACTACAAGTCCAAGGAAAAAACATCAGGTGTGTAGGCCAAACAAAATGTCAAGAAGAAAACAGGAAAAGCCTGCACACTGATCAGAAAAATGGAATGTCCACTCCACTCCAAAGGTAAAGGTAAAGGATGTAAAAGTTCATATTTAATGGTCCATCAAAAATATAAAAATATAACAGGTGCTACCAATAGTGAAAAAACAAAAGAAACAGATGGCTGTGTAGCCAAAACATTTCTGTTCAGTTTTCTTCTGTTTCTTTTGTTTTTTTTTTCACTATTGGTAGCACCTGTTATATTTTTATATTTTTGATGGACCATTAAATATGGAACTTTTACATCTGTTTACCTTTGGAGTGGACATTCAATTTATCTGATCAGTGTGCAGGCTTTTCTTGTTTTCTTTTAAAATGCAAATAAAAAATTGAAAATGTGATTTTAATAAGAATGATATTTTCTTGAAATTAACATGATATTGTTTGTCAAATCAATATAGGCTTACCCTGCAGGACAGGAGCAGAAGGCATCCACCAACAATGCTTTTGCCTTGTGTACAATCAACCAGCATTTATAGGGTGCCAGAGAGGTGTTGGTTTCTCTGATCACTGTGGCCCTCAGGAAACAATATGGCACATTTTTACCAATGCCATGATATTGCACATTATGGACATGGTCTGACATGTGAAGGGACCTTCCATCCCTCAAAGCCTCGGCACCACCAGTTAAAATGTCAATTGCTCGGTTTTCTATAAGAGAAAACACATAGGCCTATTTAGTTGGCATCATTACTAAATGTATACATGGCAAAGGAGTAAAATGTATAGCCTAATAGTAGTCTACATGTCATGCAAATTGCCAGAGCAGATGAACAAGACAGCTAACAAGTGTTAAAAAAAGATTAGGAAACATGTTCTCATTGATTACTTACTTTTGTCAAAGTATGTTTCTATACCACTCTGTAAAAGATGTGGATAACTTGATGGGCTGTCTTCCCAACCATCTCGGAGGATATCGGGATCAGGTAGGCAGATTATGCCCCCATCTAAAATTAATTTGGACAGCCTCTGGTTCGCGATTTCTTTATTATATTCTTCCGGTGTAGCCTTCAGTTGAAGATTTAACGAACATGCTGCACGGCAACGGGCAACTAAATGTTTTTTTAATGCATTTGACATTACAATATCGCGTTCTGATAAATACTGTTTTAACTGACGAACAGTCATATTACTAAAGTGATCTTCTGTGTCCATTGCGGCCGTCTGTCAGAGACACGATCAGAGACTACACGGTGCGGAGATGGTGTTTGGACGCTTTCAATCCCAGATTGCTTCGGTGCATACCCACAATGCATTGCGCAATGTCCAAGATGGCGGTATTTGCGAAACGGGTTATGGGACTTATCATCTACTCACACCCATTGTGCTTCAGCATGCTCTCCATTGCTGAGGCTCCAATAGTCTGAGTCCACACCGCCTTCACATCCCCCAAAGCCAACAATTTGCCAATGGTAGCTTCCTCAAAACCTCTGATCCACCTTGAGGCCCCGTCATGAATATCAGGGAGTCTGGAGACCAGGCCGGTCAGATCGAGGGTCTGCCACGGGATATAATATCCCTGGATCCCCTTTATTAAAATTGGAGCCATATAGTGCTCATTATTATATCTGTCTGTTTTTTTAAGTAGTGCTCTATTTCTGAGATTTATTTTTATTCTTTGCAATGAAACGCTGTAAGAAGTGCTGACGTATTGCGGTAAGCGAGTTGTGTCATTTCCGGTGTTTCTGTGACAGCGTCTCTGTACTGCTCTGGTGAATTCTGTTAGCCTGCTTTCTCACTTCAGCTGCTTTAACGTCTACTTCAAGTCTTAACCCACAGTGGTTCTGTTTAAGCACTTATAGCTCTCCTCCTTTCTACGACTTTCTCGCTAATCTCTTAGCTGTTGTTTGCACGTTACTAGCCTTGGTAGCTACATTAGCTTTACAGCTAGCGATGGCTTCTCCTTCTGCTCTTTCTTGCTCGGTGTGCCAAATGTTCAGTTATGCCTCTGCCTCCTTTAGCGACAGTGGTAATTGTAATAAGTGTAGCTTATTTGCTGCGTTGGAGGCGAGGCTTAGTGAATTAGAAGCGCGGCTCCGCACCATGGAAAACCATTCAGTAGCTGCGGTAGTTAGCCAGCCCCCTGTAGCCGGTGCGGAGCCACATAGCATAGCCTTAGCCTCAGCTAACTGTCCTCCGGTAACTCCCGTTCAGCCGGGAGGTTGGGTTACGGTTCGCCAGAAGCACAGCTCCAAGCAGAAGCCCACGGCTCACCACCAGCCTGTTCACGTTTCCAACCGCTTTTCCCCACTCAGCGACACACCCGCTGAGGATAAAACTCTGGTTATTGGCAGCTCTATTCTGAGGAACGTGAAGTTAGCAACACCAGCGGCCATAGTCAAATGTATCCCTGGGGCCAGAGCGGGCGACATTGAATCAAATTTAAAACTGCTGGCTAAAGCTAAACGTAGATTCAGTAAGATTGTTATTCACGTCGGCGGCAATGACACCCGGTTACGCCAATCGGAGGTCACTAAAATTAATATTGCCTCGGTGTGTGAATATGCAAAAACGATGTCGGACTCCGTAGTTTTCTCTGGACCCCTCCCAAATCTGACCAGTGATGACATGTTTAGCCGCATGTCATCATTTAACCGCTGGCTGTCCAGGTGGTGTCCAGCAAACGATGTGGGTTTTGTTAATAATTGGCAAACTTTCTGGGGAAAACCTGGTCTTATTAGGAGAGACGGCATTCACCCCACTTTGGATGGAGCTGCTCTCATTTCTAGGAACCTGGCAAATTTTATTAGTAATTTAAATCCCTGACAACCCAGAGTTGAGACCAGGACAGAGAGTTGCAGTCCTAAACGCCTCTCTGAGCTTCTAGTTCAGTTACCCAGCCATAGTTTTCATAGTTTTATACAAACGGTGTCTGTCCCCCGACCACCTAAATTATTTAAATCTAAAATTAAACAAAGAGGAGTTGTGCATAACAACCTCATAAAAATTAAAACCTCTTCTGTGACAGAAAGACAAAACAGGAGAATTAAATGCGGACTGTTAAATATCAGGTCTCTATCGTCTAAAGCAGTGTTAGTAAACGAATTAATATCAGATAATCATATTGATTTACTCAGTCTCACTGAAACCTGGCTGTGTCAAGATGAATATGTTAGTCTAAATGAGTCCACTCCTCCCAGTCATAATAATACCCACATTCCTCGAGGCAGCGGCCGAGGAGGGGGAGTTGCAGCCATTTTTAACTCTAGTCTGTTAATCAGCCCTAAACCTAAACTAGATTATAATTCATTTGAAAGCCTCGTTCTTAGTGTTTTACATCCGACCTGGAAAACCTCGCAGCCACTTTTATTTGTTATAGTGTACCGTGCTCCTGGCCCGTATTCTGAATTTGTATCTGAATTCTCAGAGTTTTTATCCAGTTTAGTTCTTAAATCAGATAAAGTTATTATTGTAGGCGATTTTAACATTCATGTCGACGTTGATAATGACTCCCTGGCTACCGCGTTTATCTCATTAATAGACTCCATTGGCTTCAGTCAGGGTGTACATGAACCCACTCACTGTTTTAACCATACCCTCGATCTAGTTCTGACGTATGGAATTGAAATTGATAACCTAAAAGTCTTTCCACAGAATCCCTTGCTATCAGATCATTATCTGATTACTTTTGATTTCTTTTTACTCGATTACACGCCACTCAGCAACAGTTACTATACTAGATGTTTATCAGATAGTGCTGTCACAAAATTTAAGGAAAAGATTACTTCGTCGTTAAATTCAATACCAATACCTTCAGTAACAGAGGTTTCCCGTGCCGACTTTAACCTCTCCCAAATTGATCATTTTGTTGATAGCGCCGTAGGCTCGCTGCGAACAACGCTCGACTCTGTAGCTCCTCTTAAAAAGAAGTTAACAAAGCAAAGAAAGTTTGCTCCTTGGTATAACTCTCAAACCCGTAGGTTAAAACAAATATCGCGAAAATTTGAAAGGAATTGGCGATTAACCAAACTGGAAGAATCTCGTTTAATCTGGACAGACAGTCTCAAAACTTATAAGAGGGGCCTCCGCAATGCCAGAGCAAACTATTACTCAGCATTAATAGAAGAAAACAAGAACAACCCCAGGTTTCTTTTCAGCA